TTAGTTTATAAAATTTTACGATTCGTCGTAGAGTGTGCTTTTCTTTGTAATCTTTTGTTCGCTTTTGTGATTACCAAATACTTGCCTCAGTCATTTACGATAGCGCGTTAACGCCAACTTATTTTTATCTAACTATTAATTTATTTAAATATTCAAATTAGAGGAAGCTTCACGATTCGTCGCAAAATCCGTCAGGGCCAGTCCCTTTTCTCAGTCATTTTTTGTTCGCTTTATAATGACCTGATACTAAATAAACAAGATTTTTTACACGATGGTATAACCAACTTCCTCTTTTCTACTTCATTTTTACCTTAAAGTCGTAGATGTTCCTTTAAGATATTTCAAGTTACAAGTGGTAGGGGCTAATTCTCCTACTTAACTGCCGTTTATGGAGACGCTTACGAGTTGCAAATTCGTTTTGCGGATAACAATATCAACAGCATCATGTCTGCTCAACCATACCGTATTAGCTTACGGATTCACTTGGCTCTGAGAGCTTATATCACATATACCAGAAATAGTTACATATAATAAAGCTAACAGAAATCGGGAACAAGGAACCACCCTATACTTCCCTAATAAATTTTTCAACCACGGCTTGAAGTGGGCCTTTATCTTGTGGCTATAGCTTATAGCATCTGGTGGTTAGCCATAGCTACGTTCTTCTCTTAGTTTTAAGCATTTGGAGATTGCTCGACGGCACTCGAATAAACACTCTAAACTAACTGTAACCATCTGACTAAGTTAACGGTGAAGGTTGTCACCTACTGGTTCAAGCTGCCAGTCAACATTCGCATTCCTTTTCGTCTTCAGCGAACTTATACCCGTCTGTCTTTTTGGAACTCAAACCAGACAGAAAAATGAAGATATAACAGCATCAGTCTCACCTGTTATTCTTTTGAGTTTGGTACTCCGGGTCGGACTCGAACCGACAAACCTTGCGGCGTTAGGACCTAAACCTAATGCGGTTACCAATTTCGCCACCGGAGCATTGCGGAAAACACTGCCTATCTCTGATAGGGATGTATATTAGTCTT